TGGCTGATCTGTTTTCAGTACCCTTCCTAATAATCCCCAGCATAGCATTGGCCTTCTTTATTGCAGTCACACACTGTCTCGACATTTTCAGTGAGTTATCTACTACGACTCCAAGATCTCTCTCTTGATCAGTCTCTGCCAGTTCAGACCCCATCAATGTGTATTTATCTTTAGGATTTTTGGCTCCAGTGTGCATCACCTTGCACTTGGCCACATTGAACCCCATTTGCCATGTTGACACCCACTCGCCCATCCTTGACAGGCGAGTGGGCGTCAGCATCCTTGACCTGTTGGCACTGAGCACACACACAAACACGGGTAAAGCGTGATCTCCGCCCCCGTTCACTGGAAAGAAAAGTGAGAAGACTGAAATGAACGTTTTATTTAACTGGGCATTCGAAGTGAACAAAGCAGACAAGGTCTTTGAAACCCCTTCATGATCCATCAGGACAGCTGTAGATGCTGTTCCTGCCAAGTCAGTAGAAGAAGTTCCTCTTGCCTTTTGGTGCCCCACAAAATCTGATGCCCACATGTGGTTGGGCCAACTCTTCCTGGCTGCATGGATGTTGCCGCTCAGGCAGAGACTAAGCACTCAGTCTGCTTCTTTGCACATATTTTGGGGGGGATGGAAGCACATGCATGCTTGCCTGCTTGCTTGCTTTCTGACTCACCAGCATCCTGACAGTTGTAACACACCTTAGCTCAAAACGTGTATCCCACTTCCTGCCATTCCGGGCATCTCCTTCGCTTATTTTCCTTGGAACAGTCGAGGCCCTGTCAACGCTCTTGCGGCCCCGCCGTGTTTGTGCGTTGAAGCCATCTGGGAATTGAGATGTTTTGAAAACGGTGCATTCCACAGCTGGTCAAAGAGGATAACATCAGGGTTTCAGATGCTCCTCCCAGCGCATGTTTGCTGTTTTCCCCCAATGGACTGGGTGGCCGAGAACTCATGTCCAAGGCTGAGTTTCAGCTGGGGCTGTCTGGTGGAGCTCAGAGACATATGTTCCGGGCAGACCTGTCACCTCTGCCTCTGACCTCAGGCCTCAGCTTGAGACTTCCGGACCACACCAATGACCAGGGTCGTGTCCCTTGAATTCAGTGCTGTGCTGGGGCAGTGCAGGGAAGGACTGAGCCGTAAGTTGCTTCTCACGTGTTTCCTGTCAGGTGGGCCGGGATATGCCAGTGGCTGGGGTCCAAGAGAATGGCTTGTGGTTCTACCCAGTTATCCTTTGTGTGGTCTTGGCTGTCACCTGAGCCCTGAACAGCAGACAGATTAAATACTTCTCTTTGGCCACCTACAGCAGTGGCACCAGGGCTATTTTTGGGCAGGAACGCACAGGAACGGAGTTCCAGCTGGCTCCCAAGTTGGCCACACCCAGAAGGAACTCATTAGCATAATAGGCCACACCCAACAGCAGAAACTCATTAGGATTGGCTACATTAGGGGTGTGTGGCCTAACAAGCAAAGGAGTTCCTGCTACAAAAAAGGCCCTGGGTTTTGACAACAAACAAGGTAAACGGAATAAGAAGCAAAAGGTGGGTGTGGCTGGATGACCACACTTCTGGTAGCATGGGGGTGCGGCCTAGTATGCTAATGAGCTGCTCTGTCAGGGGTGTGGCCTAATATGCTAATGAGTCCCTGCTGTTGGGTGTGGCCTATTATGCTAATGAGTTCCTGCTGGGCTTTTTCTACAAAAAGAGCCCTGGGTGGCACTAAAGGGCATAAGTTAATTTTCATTATTTAATGTTATGTTTTATTCTTGCCCTTTCTCTGAGAGCTCGGGGGGACGACAGAAGGTGCCCCTATCTTGCTTGGCTATCTTTTTCTGTGCCTTTCCCCCCTTGACAGTAATCCTTTTTGGAGATGGAGAATCGGGGACTGGGCACTGGATTCCAAATGCGGGCACAACGTAGATCTATACAAGGGTGTCATGACGGCAGCCACTTTGTTTTCAGTCCCTTTCCTAATAGTTCCTAGCCATTTCCAGTAGCTGCCAGGATCACCGAGTGAAGAGATGAAAATGAGGTCTGAATCTTAGGTGTGAAGAGTTTCCCGTCATTATGGGCTTGACAGGGATCACTTGTAGCAGCCCTATTAACCCAGACTAGCCTGATCTCATTAGGGCTTGGAAGCTCACTGGGGTTGGCTGTGGCCAGTCCTTGGATGGGGGACCAACCAAGGAAGACCACAGCTGCCATGCAGAGGAGAGCCATGACCAACCACCTCTGCTCCTCTCTTGCCTTGAAGACCCCATGAGGTAGAACTTTGTGGAGTCTCCATGAGTCATCTGTGACTGGACAGGACTCTTTAACTTAGGGATCGCTTGCCATGGGGACACCGTTTCTTATGGCATCCCTGTGGCCGTGACTTGTGTGCGTGCTTTGGTCCTTAAATGATCGAAGGAGAAACACCGTAGCATTCACGGGGAATTTAGGATACTGTCGTAACTGAGCAGAGAGAATGAACAGGAGCTTTGTGGCACCCAGAAACACAAATAAGATTTTTTAATTTTAGCATTAGCTTTTGTGGTCTAGCTTCTTACTGAGGAAAGACAGGGGTTTTGGACATAGTCCACTACATTCCACAATTCAGAGATTTGTTGTGGGCATGAGAGTTCTGAAGGACACACTGAAAGGAATCTTATGTTCAAGGGATTCCCTTATGAGTTCTGAGAGAGGGGCAACTGAGCAATAGCCCCTCCTGCCATTGTTGCAAAACGGAAGGCCCTAGGGTTGCCAAGTATAGCTTACCTCCACAGTGGGGGACTCCCGGGTGGATCCCGGAGAGCGCGCGCCGCACGCATGTCACCAGGAAGTGACGTTATGACGCCAGGCACGCTGGGGGCGGGCCACGACCATTCCAGGGGAAACCATAGAGTCACTTCCTGGTGACGCGCATGCCGGGGTGGGGTTCCCCCTGGGGCGGAAATCGGGCCTCCAAAGCGGGGGGTTACCCGCCCCCCCGCCCCCACTTGGCAGCCCTAGAAGGCCCACACACGCTGACCTTCTGTGGTGCAGCACGCTGACAGGGCCCTGGCAGGAAAGCCCCATGGCCTTTCTTTCTACACAACGTACCGTATTTGTGTTCTGGGCTTGATTTGGCACGTCCACATTTTAGATCAGGATTCCAGGTGCCGAGGAGTACTGCTTAAACTGAATCCAGTCAAGAATGTTGGCACAGATCCGCATCTTGAAATTGGTCCATGCTGCATGCAAATAATGTTTTGATGTCTCCTTGCAAAAATAAAATAAAATAAAATCCCTCCCTCTCCCTGGGAAATGACATCATTGTTTATAGCGTTTTTTTTCTACTCTGCCTTTATGAAGTAAGGCCAAATAAAAGACAGACGATGTAATCCCCGCTGAGAATTTTCCAGCATATGCTCAGAAGCCTCCCTGGAGAAATCCCGGGGATGGACAGGTCGCTCCCTCCCAGTGAATTAGACATCAACAACACGCTCCAAATCCTGTGCGGGGAGTTTGCCTGTTGCTAGTGGGTGGGTGACTGTGGAGTAGAGGGATGTGGCCTCGAAAAGCGTGAAATCCTCTGCTGGAGGAGGCCTGGGAACGCTGCTGAGATTGGCTTCTGAATTAAGAGAAGTTGCAAAATATCACTTTTTCTTGTGAACCGAATTAGCATTTCCACGGACTACCCCTTCCTAACTCAAGGAGAACCTTTTTTACACAACATAGCTTGAGAAATGGTGGCGCCATCGACTGGAAACTGCTGGGGGGGGGGAAGGGGTATAGCAAGGCTTTGTGCCTCTGCTGTGGGCTTCCAAGGTGTCTGGTTTTTTATACCCCGCCCTTCCCGTGAATGGGCTCAGGGCGGCTTACAGCAGTGGCCCAATTGCCAATAAAACCAATAAAACAACATACATCATTTCATAATAAGTTAAAACATAAAATCATAAGGTTTGACCCCTGTAAGGATGGATGAGCAGCCATGATGAACTGGAGCAATGATCCATCTAGTCTAGTGCACCATCCTGTTTCATACAGTGTCCTGTCAGTGGTCCCTGTGCAGGGAAACAGGATGGTGGTCTAGGTGGACCATTAGTCTGATCCAGGGCTTTTTTTTTGTAGAAAAAGCCCAGCAGGAACTCATTAGCATAATAGGCCACACCCAACAGCAGAAACCCATTAGCATATTAGGACACACCCCTGACAGCACAGCTCATTAGCATATTAGGCCACACCCCCATGTTACCAGAAGTGTGGTCATCCAGCCACACCCACCGTTTGCTCCTTATTCTGTTGAACGGAAGGGGAGAGCTCCAGAGCTTTGGTGCCATGACCGAGTTGGCCCTCTCCCAAGTTGCCACCCGCCCAGTCTCAGAAGGTGTGTGTGTGGGGGGGCGGGACCAGAAGCAGGGCCTCCACAGGTGACACCGTGGTTGGGTAGGTTCATAAGGGAGTATGAAGCAGACTTATAGTCAATCAGACAATTGATACATCAGGGTTTAGTGTTGTTTATTCTGTCCACTGTTAGATCTCCAGGCTGACATCTTTTATGTCTCTTAATGCCTGGTCCTTGTAACTGGAGATGTCAGGGATTGAACCCGGGACCTTCTGCATGCAAAGCAGATGCTGTACCATTGAGCCATGGAGAAAGTCATAGGGTATGCCCTATAACAGTGATGGTGAACCTTTTAGAGACCGAGTGCCCAAACTGCGACCCAAAACCCAGTTATTTATCACAAAGTGCCAACACGGCAATTCAACCTGAATACTGAGGTTTTACTTGAGAAAAAACGACTCATACATTAATTTAAAATGATCCAAACAAAGTAAGGAAAGCAATCCCAAATGCTTTCATTGACTTAAAATTATTTGGCAGAGAATTCCACGCTTTAATGATGGTCTGGGCCTGGCTGGGGCAATGGCATGGGTGCCCACCCGTGCCATAGGTTCGCCACCACTGCCCTATAATTTTTCTTAGACCAACGTAACTTTGCCTCCCAGAAACCGCAAGCTTTCCTTTCTTTCCCACCACTTAGGTTCATCCCTACCAACAAGACAGTGAGAACGACAACGGTCACCAGTGCCTGTGCTGACCACCGCGACCATCACGTGGTCTACCTAGAGCATGTTGTTGTGCGGATTACCATCGTGCACCCTCGGCGGGGAGACCTACAGATCAGCCTGACATCTCCTTCTGGAACAAAGTCTCAGCTCCTAGCGAGGAGGTGAGCCGAACTGAATCTTGGATGAAGCACCATTTCTGTTCCAGAGCATTTACAGCTGAGATGGGCCATGGCTTATTAGGTTTCTCCTGCACATCTGCCAAGGAAGAACTTTCTTGGGGGAAGGAAGGAGAGAGAGTCGAGCTCTGAAACTTCCAGTTCCACCGGGCTTGTAAGATGGTGTTGTGCTTACGTTCCAGCCTCTGTGCCACAAAGTGGGATCGTAGTTACCCGCTGAGACCCCAACAATGCTTCACAAATGTGCATAGTATTTGTCATGTTTTATTCATCCAGGTGCGTTTTTGCACAACTGCACATTTTCAGTACTGCTTTCTTTTCTTTGCCTTCTTCGGTAAGCACAGAAGCGACGGCTGCTGTGCAGAATAATACACCCAGGGGAACTGCATCTCTTTCTTCCAACTTCAGCCTTGCTTAACCATGAACACTAACAGGAGGCAACTGATTGTCCTTTTGGATTTTCCTTCTAAGAGTTGTCTAGTTTATAATCTGGGAGGGGGAGGTTTGAGGCCATTACTTTTATCCGTTGCAGGCAGAAAGTGGGCTTGAGGTCATGCAGCTGGAACAGGACTAAGAGTAGTGCTGGAGAAGTGAAGGCCAGAATAAGGAACAGAGAGGGGAGCTGCTCAGGAAGCAAAGCAAGAAGGGTAACATTAGGGTCAGTTCCCGGAGGAAAGGCGGCAAGGCATAGCCCTATCTCATCTGAGTTTGGAAGCCATGCTGGGTTGCCATAAAATTGGTTGCAACTAAGACGGCACTTACGGACATGGTGGGAGTTCCAGCCAATCAGAGCTCCCATCCAGATGTGCGCTTGCAGGCTGAACTTTGTTAGAACTAGTGGACGCCACATTCACAGCTTCCTTCTGCCAGCTGTTTCCTTGTCCTCATTTAAAAGGGAGCCCTTGAGTACCACCAAGATGCACTTGCTTCAGGGTTTGTAATATGGACTCTTTGCCTTGCGTAGGTGCTAGTGCCAGGGAGGCAGAAGTGTTCGTGTGTCCCTCTTCTGTTTTTGGACGTTGCTTAACTGAAGTAAGGAAGCCGCGGTGGCTCAAGTGGTCAAGACGCTGAACTGCAGGCTGTGGAAGGTCGGTAGTTCAGCAGTTCGAGACCCAAGTGTGCCGCATGACGGAGTGAGCTCCCGTCTCTAGTTCCAGCTCCTGCCAACCTAGCAGTTCGAAAGCAAGAAATTGCAAGTAGATAAATAGGTGCCACTTCGGTGGGAAGGGAACAGCGTTCCGTGCACCTTGGTGTTTAGTCATGCCGGCCACATGACCACGGAAACGTCTTTGGACAGCGCTGACTCTTCGGCTTTGAAACGGAGATGAGCACCGCAACCCTAGAGTCGGACTCGACTGGCTTTCGAGCAAGGGAACCTTTACCTTTACCTTTAACTGAAGTAAGATGTCTGGATGAGCCCCTGGTTTTGTCTTTCCATATTATTAGCCCCCATTTCTTTTCTTTGTTGTGTCCCCACTTGCTACTAATCATTGGCACACAGCAAATCTGGGGGCTGCTTCTGCCAACACAGGTGTGAAAGCGGATGGCTTCTGTCCTAGCTGGATGGCATGTCTTGCCATGAGTCCGGTCTGGAACCCTGTCCCGTCACACTGCCCCGCTCATAGACTCTGATCTTCTCAGACAGATGGCAACTGCTGATTCCCAGCAGTGTCCAAATTCTAAAGAACAGCACTGGGTAGTGCTTTATTTACTTTTATTTATTTCCATTATGTATAGTCCGCCTTTCTCACGGGGACTCAGGGTGGATTATGCAGAGTGAGTCAGTACAGTCGACAAAATTAGACACTCAGTCACAAGTGCGTTCGGATTTTAGAAGTCTGGAACCCCCAGAAGGAACTAATGCACAGCACAAGTATTAACACGACACATTTAAGCCATACAGAAATTACATCATACGATCCTACTTCCACAGCAGTATAGAACGCAGTCCCTAATCATTTATCCAAGCAAGTTGGTGGACCATTTGGTACCTGTTGACTGTGAAGAAAACCCCTCTTGAATAATTCAGGGTCAGGGGCTGGGTGCGGTCAGAGTCCAGAGTCGGTGTCAATGTCAGTCTCAAGTCAGGGTTCCAGAAGTCAGGCAAGGCAGAGTCGTTCAGTCCAAAGTCAGACACAAGAGCAAGCAGGTCCGAGATCCGAGTCCAAAGCCGGTCCAAAGGTCACTGCGGCAAAGCAGAGTCAGGAGCCGTGGTCGCAGAGTTCACCAGGTGGTGACTTGTTGCTTCCACATCCAGCAGTCTCCCTTGACTGGCTCTTATAGGCGTCTGCTGGAAGGTCTTACTTGCAGCCAACTGCTTGGGAATTACCCTGCAGCTACTCACCATCAGCAAGCAGCTGGCATCAGGCCAGGAGACGTGTACTTTGTCTTCTCTCCTGGAGCTCCATCTCTAAGCCTTCGTCTCCGGTGCTCAGAGGGTGTGGGTGAACCTGGAGGGCTGGTAACAACCACCTGGGTTTCCTCTGTTGGAATGGACCTGGAAGGTGCTGGTGGCTCTGCATCAGCTATGACCCCTGGCAAGCCTGCCGCTCAACTTGCTTGCCGGCTTCTGCTGATTCAGAGCTGGCTACACGGGACTCCTCTCCTCCTGAGGAGTCCATCTCTCCTGACTGAGTTTTGCATCGTTTGTGGAAAGTTTGGCATTCAGTTCTGCAGAGTTTGCGGGAAGCCAGGAGAGCGGGAGCCATTCCACAAGGCGGGAGCCACAATGGAGAAGGGCACGTGCATGGGCAGTTGTTGGTCTTGCCCATTTGCAGGTTGGCACCCGAAGAAGTCCCTGCTGACACGAGTGAAGTTGTCGTGGTGGAGCAGGGGGGGAGAGGCAGCCCAGCAAACAAGAGAGGCTGTGAAGGGCTTTGATAGCCAGCCCCTTAAGATGAGCCTGGCAACAGATGAGCAGCCAATGGAGCATCCGCAGAGTGGGAGTAAGATGCACGCTCCATCTAGCTTCTGTTAGTAGCCGAGTCGCAGCATTCTGGACCATCCGGCGTATCAGAACTGATTTTGAGGAGAGATCAATCTACAGGAGTCTGGTCTTGATGTTAACTGTGTGCAATGCTCCCTCTAAGCTATGGAGTCTTGTGAGCAAAAGTTCTACTTTGTGTGCTACTGGCATTAAAGTTGTGAGCGAGCCATTTGGCCACTGCATAAATTAGTTTGCTCTGGAGCCATCCTTCCTGAGCTAGAGACAAAAATGTGTGAACTGGAGGCTCAAAAAACCGTGAGCTGGCTCACACTAACTCAGCTTAGAGAGAATGCTGACGGTGGGTGGATCCAGGTGGCCAGGTCAGCCATAGCAAGGTAAGGAGCCATCTTACAGGCTAGGCTGAGTTGGTAGAAAGCCTTTTTTTGCAACGGCATTAACTTGATTCTCCACGGTTAAACCTGGATCCAGTATGACTCCGAGGCTTTTAACTGAGTCAGCAAGGCTCAGCTGAACTCCCATTAGAAGTGGGGAGAACAGTGTCCTTCAGGACCTCCCCCCCCCCCCCACCAGCTTTACCTCTGTCTTTTCATGGTTTAGTTTTAAGCTGTTAACTTTCAGCCAATTAACCACCATGGCGAGGCAAGCAATTCAGGATCTCTACCACATCACCAGGAGATTTGCATACGGACATATAGAGCTGAGTATCATCATCCTATTGATGACAACCAACCCCAAAACTATGAATGGTTTGTCCTAGGGGCTTTACATAGGGATTGAAAAGGATGGGAATAGAACTGCATCCTGTGGAACCCCACAAGGTGGTCGAGCTAGGATCTGGGAGACCCAGGGTCAAATCTGCACTCTGCCGTGGGAAGCTTGCAGGGTGACCTTGGGCCAGTCACACGCTCTCAGCCAGACCTACCTTGCAGAGTTGTTGTGATGATAAAATAGAAGAGAGGAGAACCGTATGAGCCACTTTGGGTTCTCACTGGGGGGGGGGGGGTTTAGATCAGAGGGGGC